GTCTTGTTAAATAGCTGAAATTACATGTATCTCTTGGTAGTCATGAATTTATATTCACATCTGGCTAAAATTTTTTATCTCTGCTAAATAGGTTTGTTTCAAATTATTTATGGTTTAAAAAAGCATTTTTAACACTAACATTTGTTGAGGGTGAGTCATGACTTTATTGCCTGCATCTTCTAGCTGTACAGCTGCCAGGGGTAGGGTAGTAAACTTGGAGGATTTTTCTGAGCTCATGTTGCAGTAAAACTCTCGTTTTATTACAAGACCAGGCGTGAATTATTGTCTTTGTTATAAAAACAGGGCAACTGTATACATTAAGAAATAAATTCATAGTTGAGCAAGAGGAGATACGATAGTTTCCAGAGAAAGAAGCACAGGCTCTTAGATGCAAGTCCAGTCTCTTACTGGCGATCTTGAAATTGAATTTCACGCTCAGTCTTTTCATAACAGTTCCCAGACACTCATTACTCTCTCTCTCTTATTCTTGCTCCCTTGAGTCACCTGTTTATACAGCCACTCTTCTGCCAGTGACTGAAGTTTGTCTTAAGAAGGCTGATATATCATCAATACTAACCTTGGTGTTCCAAGGTAAGGATTTTGTGTAGCAAGCACCAGAGAGAGGACCTACATGTGGTATCTGTAATTTCATTGTAGTATTAATGCATAGTTGGCTGTGTGTAAACCAAAGCTTCTCTCTGGTGAACAAAAAAAGCATCAGTGCTATTCATTTACTCAGTGCAATGAATTTACCTATTTACTTGTGGCAGTAGTTGGACACCTTCCTTGCATTTGATAGAAGACAATGATAGAACTACAGTCAGGATCCTTGTATCTCAAAGTAAATATCCCTGTACAAAGGATTGCTTCAGTTGTTTTGTTTCCCTCCATGGTATGTAAAGGACTGGGAATGGATTACAAAACCCAAAGTCTTAGGTATGTTAGATTGATGGTTTTTTATCTCTTGCTGTAACAGAGAGATACAAATCAGAAAATTGATCAGGAGACAGAGACAGTGGTTGTCCAGATATCTCCTAGTTAGTGATTTTATGATGTAACTAATTAGATGATAAAAGATGAATAAAATTATTCAAAATAGTCTTACAGACCTCAGATGAGTCTCATGAAGGTTTTTCTTCTTCCTTAGAAGTTAGGTGATAAAGTTAAATGGATTAGCTGAGAGATTTGCCCTCTGAAGTATATTTGCAATATATATCCATGAAGTATAGAGAAAAAAACATTTAATTGTTAAAAGATCATGGGGTTTTATACCCTTTGGCTTTGCATTTTATTTATTCTATACATCCTTAATGGAATTAAAGGGTATTTTAGTTGTGGCCTTTATGATGCCCCATTGTGGCTACACCAAATGGAAATGTAAGACATACTTCTGACACTTGGCTCCAGGAGGTTTGCTTTCCAGTACGTCCTGTTAGGCTCTAAATCACACATCTTGTTCCTGATAACTTAAGATTTAGTTGAGTGATATTCTCTGGCCAGAATGAAATCAAGCCAGACTGGATCTTTCATAGCCTTACCACCTAAGCTGCTTCCTGTATGCTTTAACTAGTGAGTATAATACCTGTTTATGCACGTGCCTAACATATTTGCTAGGTCATAAAAAGTTATGTCTTAATAATGAATAACAGAAGAAAGAATTGTTAGCAAAAGACAGAATGGATGACACTGGGGGACACCTATTCCAACCCACCTATGCACAGCAGAGTCAAGCAGAGCAGGTTGTTTAGGACCACTGGAAGAGTCTGGCTCCATCTTCTTTACTCCTCCCAAAAGACCCTAAGATTCTCCCTGAGCCTTTTCTTCTTCACGGTAAACAACCCAGGCTCACTCAGCCTCTCCTTGTATGATAGATGTTGCAGTTCCTAATTATCTTCACATCTCACAAGTGGAATTGCTCCAGTACATCCCTATTTTTCTTGTACTCAGGAGGCTGGAGCTGGACCCAGCACTCTAGATGTGGCCTTAGTAGCAGAACAAAGCAGAAATATCACTTCCCTGAGGCCCTAGTGAAAGCCTTCCTAAATGCAGCCCAGGATGCTGTTGTCCTTCTTTGTCACAAGCACATGTTTCTGGCTCATGTTCAGCTTGTTGTCCACCAGGACCCCTGAGCTCTTTTCTGCAAAGCTACTTCCCAGACTGTCTCCCTGAAGCGTGCAATGGTGCCTGGGGTTATTCCTCACCAGAGGTAGGATTTGGCATTGCACAGAGTTGATAATTTGGGAAGATTTAGTATTTATTTTTAATTTTTCTTTCTGTAAATTAACATTTGATCTGAAATAGTTTCACTACAAAAATGGTAAAATAGAACTTTCAGACAGTTTTAGAGTACCAGCAAGGGCAGTAATGAGAATTCTTATTGTTCTTTTTCCTTCTGAACATCTTTTTGGGGCAAATCCCACCATCCTACCCCAAATATCAACAAGTGGACTAAAGCATTCTTTGCAGAACTGCTCATCACGTTTAGGAATTACTCCTATTTATGGGATGTATATCATGTGTTATGTATGCAGGAGTAGTGTAATTGAAATATTTCTAATCCTTCTCTGCTTGTGTGGTTTCCAAGACAAACATTGCCAACGCTTTTTTGGCACTTGTAGGTTTTTGTTGGCTTTGTGACTAAGCTCCTTATGTTTTTGCATTCTTTTGGCTCTCTACTTGGTCAGTAAGACTCCTTAGGTAAATGGCAGTGAATGTCTACAATAAACAGGAATTAATAAGAAAAAAAAAAAAAAAGGGATCTGGACTATTCATGTTGGTGGTTAAAAAAGTAATTTTTAGAACAACTAGTGGTTTGGTTGATGTATCTTTTAGGAAATACACTGTTGCTCTTCATGGAGTAGCAGAAAACTTAAGTGGTGTCTTTCCTCATTCTTGGTAAAAGAATTAGGAAGAGGGTCTGAGAACTGTTTGGGAATGTTTCTAAGAATTAAGTGTGCTTTGTGAAATTTTTAAGTCAAAATTTATCTATTCAGATTTGAACCACCAAAAGAAGTGATTCAAATGCATAGGAGGTGAAGATTATCAAAATAACAGAAGGTTATACAAAATATTTGAAAGTTTAAGTAGAATTTTAGGAGCCTGGTTTTAAAAGCCCACGTTGCAAACCACAGCCCATATTTCTTCCTGTTTTCAAAATGTTTAACTAAGCATGTTGTGATTTTTTTCATTATCAGAAGGAAATGGTAAAGAAATTTTGTGAAATGATTCTGTTTCTAAGTATGTTATTGGAGTTGGATTGTATGGTCTCAAAGAATGATTAAATAACTTGGTTACATTGGAAACATCACCAGGAGAATGCAAACTTCATTCTAGATATAAGTGGGCAATTGTTCGTTGAGCCACTTGGTGAAGGTGTCCTTAATAATGACAGAAGAAGCAAAAGCCTTTCCAATGTTCCCAGTGCACAGAGAGTTGCTTTATTGAACTAATTTTTTTCTCACACAGGTTTTTGTATTTTTATTTGGAGCTACTTAAGTATTTCTTTACACCCCTTGAAAATAAGTGTTAATTCCCTATGGAGCTGGAGTTCAGAAGTAGTTGTGCATGCTGTCTTCTGCTGATGTGGTGATATATGTTTCCTTTTGATGTCTGCTTCTCACTAGAAACTCTCTTTCTTTTGCCCCAGTAATTTTTTCTCAGTGATTAAAAAAAGGCAATAGTAGACTTGAGGCTCAGGAATTTGCCATGAGACATGCAGGCCATCCTCTGAGGTGCATGATCCCTGTGTTTGTATTTACTGCAGTGCTGCATATGATGCCATCCTTGACAGAAATGTGGCCATTAAGAAGCTCAGCAGACCATTTCAGAACCAAACTCATGCCAAGCGAGCTTACAGAGAGCTGGTCCTCATGAAGTGTGTGAATCATAAAAATGTAAGTTTTCAGTTAGTGGGAGAAGTGCTATGTTTATTGGTTTGTTAGAAAGAAAATTGGGGTTTGGGTGCCTATTTAAAACCAAGGAAATGGAAAGTAAATTATAAGGGCTACAGGCCTATGTGAGAGAGTATGTTTATGCCAAACAGGACTGCTGCTACTAGGGTTAGGGTCATAGGAGGGGAGAGAGCAGATTGCATTCTTGTCAAGTCCTTGTCCAGAACATGTGGTTGCTGGAAACGTGGATCCATCCTTTTGCCACTGGGATTCGTGACTCAAAAGCAGTGTCTTCTGAGTTGGAGTACCCATGCACAAGCATTACTTCTTGAATGGGACTTCATCTGCGACCTGGTTGTACAGATTCATTGTATACATTGTGAAAGCCTCATCCCTGGAAGTGTTCAAGGGCAGGTTGGATGGGGCTTGGAGCAACCTGGGCTGGTCAGAGGTGTCCCTGCCCATGCAGGGGGACTGGAACTAGATGATCTTTAAAGTCCCTTCCAACCCAAACCATTCTGTGATGCTATGAAGATGAGAGGTCATCATGGTGAAGGTTGCTGCAAAACTGCTGAAGAAAGCTAAGAAGAAGATTAAGACTTGTTGGCTATAGTGTCCTCTGCTCTGCTTCTGGGCATTGGCTTGTCCTTATGTGTGTGTGTGTATGAGCCCTCAGAGGAACCAGGGCCATGTCAGACAGATGGAAGGTCTTCTGTTTGTTTTTAGTAAGGTGGTTCTTGATTATTTGTCCCCTCCATATTAGCATTCTTCATATATAAGAAATGCATCACATCTCTTAATCCTTTTGTCTTACTTTGCTTTTCAGATCATCAGTTTATTAAACGTCTTCACACCACAGAAATCTCTGGAGGAGTTCCAGGATGTGTAAGTAATACAGGCAGTAATTAAACGAAGGCTTTAGAGATGTATGGGACAGTATAGTGTACCTTGAACACAGTAACTCAGCAAAATGCAAATGTTATAAGCCCCTCTAAAATAGATAATGTGTAGTCTACACTCTGGCTTTTGTTGCTTAGCAGGTGCCAAATACCAGATATCCTAAGTGCTATAATAGTGTGCAGAGCCTGCTGCTGATTGTTCTTGAGAGGGTAAGCATGCTTGCAGGGGTATAAGTAGTTAAAAGGGTCTGCTTTTGTGTTATTAGGGTCTGTCTGCTTGGGGAAAAAAGGGTCTGCTTTTGTGTTAGTACTTTGCTTGGGAAATGATGGTTGTTTGCCACTTCATTCTGAAATAGTCTCCCATAGTGGAGACTGATGTGAAACCTTTCCTCATTACATATTTGTTTCAATATAAGATTTGAGAGCCTGAAATGATTTTGCTGTGGAACAAGGGCTGGGTGTGAAGGACAACTAGCATCTCTGCTGGACATTGCCCTGTTGCACAAGCACTGATGTGTGTACTATGAACCTGCCCTGAGTGAAATTTTAAATATTCTGTGGTTTATCTTCCAGTCTTTCCCATATTCTGTGTCCATCCTATGGAAATGTGTTCCCATTCTGTACTCATACATATCAGTAGTGATAGCAGAGAGACAGTAATGGCTGAAGTCAGGCAGCTGCTGTTCTGGTTGGAATGTATGGAATGAAGAATATGGAATTTCCTCATAATACTGTTACTGCAGACTTGTGCAGAGCAGAGGAGGTAGCTAGTGCTGGAGAGATGACAAGGTATACAGCTCACATGGAAATGGAGAGCTAGTGTTTTCCTCAAGGTTTGAGAGTGCTTTAATGTAATTTTAGCAGTGGAGTCACCATCCCTAGAGGTGTTAAAAAAATGTGCAGAGGTGGCACTTTGGCACATGGTTTAGTTGGCATGGTGCTGTTGGGCTGATGGTTGGACTTGATGATCTTAGAGGTCTTTTCCAACCTTAAAATGATGCTGTGATTACAGTTACGGATCAGCTGTTCCTGTGAGATGTCTCATAAGAAAAGAGCTGACATGTTTAACATTTTAAGTTACTTCTGGAGGGGGACTAGATTGAGGTTGTCAGTGAAACTTACTTATCAGAAGCACAAGACCAATTAGTCATAATGAGAATTGTGCTAAGTCATGCAATCTTAGGAGGATTTTTGGAGACATTTTGCATGGGGATGCATATTTTAGCCTCTACTGCTCTCTGATTCCTGCATGTCCTGTGGTAGCCATTCCTTATAATGGTCAAAGGCCAAGCAGTCGTGTCATTTGGTGCTTGTGGCTCTTCTGTTTTCTTCATGTTTCAGTGTTGTGGTGCCTGTTTGCCCATGCAGGGTACAGTCTCTGTCATGGAGAAGCACCATCAATCCACCTGTTTTGCTGGGATACTAAGGAATGGTGTATCTGCAGCAACACAGTGCAGTGAGAAACGAGCACCAAAATGGTGATGTCATGATTGTGCCAATTCCTCAGCTGTGTTTCTCCCAGTTATCAGAAGCAAAGTGAATTTTGAAGACAGAAAAGGCATTTTTGGGGTGATGCTGTGGTTCCTCTCTTGCACAGACAATAACCCTCTGACTCTGCTTTTCCATTCAGCTACCTGGTAATGGAGTTAATGGATGCCAATCTGTGCCAGGTCATTCAGATGGAGCTAGACCATGAGCGGATGTCCTACCTACTGTACCAAATGCTCTGTGGTATCAAGCATCTTCACTCTGCAGGAATTATTCATAGGGTAAGGGGCCTTTGGTTGGAAACTTAAGGCAACACAATCATGAAGACTTTAGAAACAACTTGAGTTTCTTGTGTACTGTGGATCAACTATCTCCCAGCTAAATGGCTTACCAGAGCAGCTTCATGCTTATGGTAGGAATGTGAGTATTTGTGGACTTAATCAGAAAAAAAAAGTAATTTGATTATTAAAAATAAATAATAAATAATAAACATTGTTATGATCTCTGAAACATGTAGATAAATGTTCTTTTTCCTGAAAATGCAGCTACATCTACCACATGTGACATTCAGACACTTGGAATTGATGTTGTAGTGTGGTCCAAGTATTGCTTGATCAGGATCTGCAGAGGTTGGGGCATATGGAATTGGCATGTGCCATAATTTGTGTGATCTAAAACAAATTAAAAGACTGCCAAGTCTTCATTAAATACATCCTCTCACTTTGCTTTCCCACATCAAGAGTGCTGTGTCTGGTAAGGATGTGGTACCTGTGGATGCCACAGGTGTCACTACCAGGGTCACAGCAGTAAAAGCCATCTATACTCAAAACAGTAATATTAATCCTAGCTTCTTGACCTGCTAAATGCAGTTAATTGAACACCAGTAGGCTTCTGCATCCAGCTAAAGCCCCACAATATCTCAGGTTAGAACATCTTCCAGAAGTGTTTGCTGGAGAAACAACTGCAAGGTTTTGCTGTGTAGTAAGTATTTCTGGTAGTAATTGTGTTAGAAGAGTGAAAGAGTATTTGAAGGGTGACCTAAAATATCAGTCTATATCACAGTTGTTCCTAACTTTATGAAGGACAGTCATACGTCTTTTCACTGTCTTTTGCAGGATTTAAAACCAAGTAATATTGTGGTAAAATCTGACTGCACATTGAAGATTTTGGATTTTGGACTGGCCAGGACTGCAGGCACCAGCTTCATGATGACTCCATACGTGGTGACACGTTACTACAGAGCACCAGAGGTCATCTTGGGAATGGGCTACAAGGAGAATGGTAGGGCTGCATTTCCATAGCAAGCACAGTGTGATCTGAGGTGCAAGGTTTGCCTCTATGATTGTACAATTGGGGCACCAGAGAGAGGAAAAAGAAAACAGGAGAAACAACATCTTGAGTTTAAAAGGCAGGTTGTTTAGAATAGTTTCTCACTGTTGCACACTGCAGCTACAGAGTGCATTTGGGCTGCAATGCTGGTGAATTTATCAGAGTGGGATTGCAGAGTATTGATAAACTCGTTCTTAGTTATGGCTGAATTTAACAAATGCAGTTAGTTCTTTCTGTCCTCAGCTTCTGTGTCTGTGAAGCAGTGTGGAAACCACTGGAATTGCTGAACAAGTGGTGTGTTCTAAATTTGAGTCTGGGTCTCTGAATTGCTTGGGGGAAGAAGTACAAATTGAAATAGGAAATCCTAGGTCTTCCAGAATTTCTCCAAATCCAGAGCCCGATTTTAATTTCAGGAATGGTTTCTGTCTTTATGATAGCTTTAACTGAAGTCTCAGATTTTGCTGACAGGTTTCATCTGGTCAAGATCTAGCTGTAAATTTTGCAGTTTGAGTCTTTTTTTATAGTGGCAAGTAGAGTTGGAGAGAAGAGGAAAAAGCTGAAGCTAAAAAATCATGCATCAAACTTGTATGTAATCTCCCTAGATGTAAATAGGATTTTTCTCTGAACAGTCTCTGAGGGAATCTAGCTACCCAGATTGGTCCCTGGAAAGATTGTGAAAAGCAGGTAGGGGGTGCCTTACTATAGAGGAACAGGTAAGGAAGAATCCACATTTTGCAGGGGACAAAGGGAAAACTTTATAAGTGATACTAATTTTGTGACAAATCTGAGAATTGCATCTGAGTATCAGGTAGATCAGGCAGGAAAAGAGGGGATATAACATGTAATGGAGAACAATCTGCTGTGACTCAGATTCTGCTCTCAAAAACTACCACTTGTCTGTTTGACAAGGAGACTTTTTGATGATAAATAAAGCAAACATCAAAACCAGGAATTTATTAAGAAGTCTCCTGATTCATTTACATTGAAGAAGTTAGCTAACCTGTGGGAAAACTCTTACTGTGGTCTATAAAGGGCAGTGGAAGTGATTCCATGACTTAAGCAAGAACAAAGGCATGCTCACATAACCTCTTCCAAAATTAGCAAGTCTCTGCATGAATTATTTATAATGTTTATGAATTTTCAGTACACATGGTAATACAAAAGTCTAAAAGTAGAGAATTACAATGCCAAGTCTAACTATACAGAATAATTTCTGAAAAAAGACTAATCTTCCTATTTTTTTGCAATTGAAATTTTTGGTAAGTTCAATCAGAAATCTGAACTAGGCTCAGCATAATATAGGTAGTTCCTTCATCAGTATCCAGTGTTCCTTCTATTGGGAAATGAATTATTTTGCTTTTTATTTTTTCTGTCCAAACATTTAGTGTATTATTACCATTGTTATTGTTACTGTCCCTTAAAGGACAGAGAAAGGACTTGGTTTCCACATGATTAAAAGCAAGAAAAGTTAAACACACTTCTCTGATGAAATACACAGCTGGGAAGGTACTAAGAAGCTTTGCCATGTCCAAAGGTCCCTGATCAAATACCCTTTGAAGAAGTCATGGGGAATTCCTTTGACTTCTGGGCAATGAATCTGGCTCAAGATGAATTCTCTTGTCTTGTACAAAGTGAAAATAAAGTAAAGAAAGAAAACAAGATGTTTTAAAATGAAGATCAGCTGTTTGAGGAGCCATTTGGCTTGGAGCCTCTGATCCAGCTCCCAAGGGAGTCAGCAGAAAGGGTTGTTCTTTGCTTCCCTGCTCTGGCCTATGCTGCCACATTACTGAAGCTCCCTTTTTTTTTTTCCTCTTACTATGTACACTGCCTGTATAAGAACTGGTCACTGCTTTCATTTTCTTTCTGCACTTGGTTGGCTAAAGATGCATAATTATCACCAGTTGGCTGCACTTCTGTGGAAGTTGCCAAAACTGTCACTATGAAGAAAACTCTGCCACTGCCTCAGGCATGCTCTTGCTGTCCCGTGCCCCTGGTACCTGTACCCTCCTTCTCCCAAATGGAACATTTCACCTCTCTTTTGTTTTACCAAGAAACCAGTCCTTTCGTTTGTTTCTTTGGTTTGTTTTGCATTGCTTTTGAAGGATAAAAAGGGGGAAGAAAAAGAGGAGAAACTGGTATTGTAGGTCAAACATGACCACAAAATGAGGATTCAAAGCTGAGAAACAATGTCAGGTTTTCAAGCATTTGAAAGCAGTTTTTTCCCCTTCATGTGGACTACATGTCTTTTATTTCTGCGTGTCACTATCCATCTAGCCTTTTTTCTCCTTAAAGGGCAAAGAAAAACCCCACCCAAGTCAAGTAGATAATGCAGCTATGCATATTGCATCTAAAAGCTGAAGGCAGGATCAGGAAGATAAAAAATGCTTATAGTCTTGTTGGTAGGTGTCCTGAGAAGCATTTGTTTAGTGTTTATTTTGAGTCCCTATGCAGTAAAAACCAGAGTCCACTCTCTCACAGAGGTGAGAGAACTCTCCAGTTCTTTTCAGTCAGTAAGTGCAGACAGATGCAGATAGATAGGTACCTATAGACAGGACACAGGTATAGATCCTGAAGCAGGAGTTTTAAATAACCCTTAAGGGATTTATGTATGTGGCCTTTCCTCATGTGAGCAGTTCCATGTATTGCTGCAGAGATACTCAGTCCTGCAGGACAAAGCCTAGACCCTGTCTGACTGCAAGTAGAGATTATTCCATATGATCATTGTCTGGGTTTGGGGTTTTCTTCCTCTTGGTTTTTTTTCTTTAAAAAATTACAAATTTTCACCATTAACTCAGAGTATGCCACAAGTCTGTGCCATTGTTACTTGAGCTTTACTTGCTAGCTGTGGGCTTTTTCCCAAAAATGCTGATTTAAACCTTTTTCCACCATTGTTACTAACTCCTGTTGAGCTGACTGATGCAGCTTTTACTTATTTCCTTATTTCTTTTAGCTTTTGGTGAGACATGAAAAAAAAAACACAAAACAACCCAACAACAAAACCACAAAACAAACTGTACTGTTCTGATCAACCTGCTCTTTTTCCCCTCCTTTAGGAGTGAAATGTCGTAGTTAACTTTGCTTTTTTTCCTCCTTCTTCACTTCCCTGTCTCTGCTGTTCTAGTGGATATATGGTCTGTGGGATGCATTATGGGAGAAATGGTTCGCCACAAAATCCTCTTTCCAGGAAGGGACTGTATCCTTGTGCCATTTGCTGCAGCTTCACCTATTATTTGTTCCTCTGCTTCACCTCATCCCTACTACCATATAATGACTATACCAGGACTGTAAAGATAGAAGCAAAAAGTTGACTTCCCTGGAGGTATGAGTGAATGAAAATAGCTCATTACTGATGTGAACAAAATTGAAAATGATAAACAGAGGCACAGAATTATTTCAGTCAAATAAGTTATTTAACACCTGTAATCATTCCATTTTATGTAATCTTTACGTCAGACTAATAAGCAACATAGAAAACAAGCATAATGATGGCAAATTGGATAGCATTACTTACTCTTCAAAGGATAAGTAAGAAAAAAAGAAAAGAATCCTGACTTGGCCCATCTGGTTCCTGTAAATCTGCTGTTCTGCTTTTATGGTTTGGAAATAGTGACTTCATAACATTTGTGGTGACATCATAATCTTTTGGTTGCTAATGCATCATGGATTTGGATTCATTTCAATGCTGTATGGGCTCAGAGTTGAGCCAATGCAACATGTTTTTCTTTCAAACAAAATGAAGAATTTGACTTGGTCAGTTTGAGGCAGTCATGGTTTCCAAATTGACCTGAAATCATATTCTCTTTATTTAAAAAAGGACTTTACCTGCATGAGGTCTGTGTCTTTAATTTAACTGTATTTCCCTCTCATCTTGTTCTTCTTGTCTTGGGTAATATTATTTTTACCACTTCTAAGGTGGTGAAAGCAATATTAGAAAATGAAAACAAAAGAGGAGGTGTCTACTTAGCCTCTGGTTTATCACGGGCTAAGCCAGACAACCTGGCCATGATGTCTGGGAGGTGTTAAGTAGTGTGTGTTTTGCCCATCAGAATGAAATGCAGCATCATCACGTTTTCCATTTTCAGAAGCAAATAGGCATATGGTTTTCAGCAGGTTGGTAGAAAGACACCGTAAAAATCTGGCATTAGCAGTTGGTGTGGAGAAAACACAGCTTTTACAGACATGTAGTCATGGAAGTGATTATTTTTCCTTGCTGGCTCTTGGGTGATTGCTGTGGTTTTTGTCAGAGTTAGGTCTTGCCTGTCCTATTTTCATAGCTCTGTCAGCTTTCACTGAAAATGGAGCTCTGCCTGGTAGCCAGGTGAAGATGCAGTTATACTTTACTACCAGGTAGATGGGGAAACTGCAGGTACCTCCTGTTTCCTGAGGAGGAAACAGCAACATAGTATGAAATTCCAGTCTTATAGAAATAAGGAATGGAAAGTTGCTGGATGCAAAACACAACAATGAAGTAAAAATGGTGGGGTTTATCCTCTGAGATGTCACTTTTCCTGCAACATGTGGAGCAGGCTGCACACCCACCTTCTGTTGTTACCTGAACATGCAAAGCTGCAGAGCAACTCCCAGCATCCAGGAACCTGGAAATCAGTGGGGTGGTTTTACTGTGTTTCATTGGTAACAACCTGTCAGAAACACCATCGTAGCTCTTCCTCCAAATACTGTCTTCTTTTTTATTTTAAGTGTATGAAGAAAAGCTAAATGATTTATCATATTCTTGAGGTTCAGCTGAAAATATTGAGGATATTTCCATATAATCTAGTTGGAGGGAAGTCTGATTGAGTTTTTAGTTTATAAGCAAATAGAATACAGAAAAAAAAGGCTATTTGAGTACAAAAGTGTAGCACCGTGGTTAGCAGGTTGCTGTCCTTTTTCAACAACAAATGACATTTAAGAGTCATGTTCTCCTGGCTAGTTCCAGAAAAAAAAAAAAAGCTATATGATTTAAACAACATAGCTTTTAAGAAAATCATTCAAACATGAGAATTAATTTGTTTCTGTCTTGCTGTGACAAACAATCTGATACAACAGTGTCTTATGCAGGGATAACAACATAATATTTTTTAAATACCTTTTAGCATTTCAGTATCAGTTAAAAATAAAACTGAAATTTTAAGCACTGCAGAAGGCATTGTGTAAGCTGTGGGATGGTCCTTCTTTTTAAATCATTGCAAATCTCATACCCCAAAATGCAGTGTATGTGATCCAGGTCACACCTGCTGTCACATCTTAATGGTGCGTTTCTTCAGGTGAGATGGAAGTCTCTTTCTTTTTAAAAAAAATACCCAAACATTTAAAAAAAGAAAAAATGGACTCTCTACTTTCATTTCCAAGTCAATGCTTATTTATTTACCAGTTTGACCCCATAAATAAAAGTTTTCCGTGTTAGAAAGACTGGTCTGTTATGGGTCCTTAATATTTCCCCTCCTTCTGTGGCTGTTAGTGAAGAGATCTAGTTTCCTTCCTAGAGCTGGAGCATTTCTGCACCTACAGGTAAATTTCACAACCAACATCACAGTAAAACTTTTCTTGGGGTACTTTGGGCCTTCCAGCAGTGGCTTTTCTACTTGAAAGAGTCAAGTATGTATAGAAAATAAAAATTTCAGTGCTTTTCAGTATTCAAAAGAATGTCTACTGTGGGCACTTGATATCAAATATAAGGAGCTTGCTCATTTCTAGCCTGGAGTAAGAACATTCATGTATGACACAGTAAAAAATTTCACAGCTACTGCCAAGTTTTATGGAAAGAAAAATTCATAAAAGTTTATCTTGACTAAACCGTTACACTTAGTAGTTACCACTGCACTTACGTGCTGGTGATGTTAAATGACATTTCTTTTTTAAAGTCTTCATGGAAATTAAAACAGGGACATTAATTTCAGATCATCTCATCCACATAAATAAGGAGCTATCTCTAAGTTACTCTAATAAAGTTCTTTGTGTAGACTCCACGTAGCAGTAAATGATAACTGTCCCAGGTGGTACAGATGGAAGTTTTGTGTTTTCCTAAAAGATGTATGCTTCTCAACTTTATTAAAATGCCCTCTGGACATGTTTTCAGTTAGTTGCTATTTCTATTAGCAAAAACCCAAACAGTACTTAAAAATGATGGCTCTAGGAGTGTTGCTGAGGTATTTAATCTAACTGACACTTGCAATGCAGCAGGGCTGGAGGATTGGTCCATTCAAGTGGTTTCAGTTTGTGATGAGCCAGATGGTTTCAGAAAAATAAGAACACCCTCCAAGCTACTGGACAGTACCAAATAGAATTGCATAGCAGGTGCCTTTGTTCCTTGTTAGTGACCTAAAGCAGACATTTCAAAATACTGTCAGGGAGACTTCTTTGTCAGAAGTGAGACCCTCATGAGAAGAAATCCAGTTTTCAGATGGATTTACAGACCAAAATATTCATGGCAAGTTCTGATAAGCTTCTGAGCTTCTCTCTCAGTATTTCTTTCATGGTTATTCCACTCTTGTCTCAGTTAAATCAGGAAGAGTGTGGGTAACTAAAAACTGCCCTGACTCTTGGATCCCACTGGAAATATGCTGGAAGACTCCAGGACTTTCCCCAAAGCTGTGTTGAGCCAGAGCTCAACACAGGATTGGAAATACATTTCTGTGTATTTTTTTTTAAGAGAAGGGAAAACTTTAAATGGTCAGAATGCTTTCAAGTGAGACAGATGTATTAGGATCTGAGCTGCTGAGGCCACAGTAATGTCCCACAGACACACATGACTTAGTGGGGAAATAAAGCAATTGAAGAGCATTTATTTTCAGTTCTGGGAAGTCCTTCAGCAGATCAAGAGGAAACAGTGATTTAGTCATAGAAACATATTGTGATAACACCCAAGTGTCTTAAGCTTGGGTAGGCCTGGATTACAGTGGTGAGTGGGGAAAACAGAATTCCTACTGCAAATAGCTTTGAGTCTATGACAGTCAAAAGAGAAAATACCATTAAGATAGCAAGGGAGAAAAAATCCATACTCATTCTATGTAGCTATGAGCATCCAAAATGGATTGTAAAGAGAAGTTAATGTTTTCTGTGGCCAGATATTAAAAAATTCTGTTGTTCACCAACTGTCTTGGAGAATGGTGGATTAGGAGACAGAATACTTTGAGTATTCTATTTTATTATCCCAGGAATTCATATGGAAAAATTCGCTTGCCTTAGAGAAAATTTTTGAGATTGAGAAAGTCTTTCAGGAAAAGATGTTGCCTTTCCACCATGCTTTACCAGAATTTGTCTTTGCATTTGAAATATGATCTGCATTATTAGTGGGTATAATGCTAGTGTTTTGAGTGGATGTTGAGGGTTTTCTTAAACTTCAGTATAATAAAACACCTGCACTTTTGTTGAATGCAGTCCCTTGTTTTCCATGTTCCCAGTTGTGTTTTTTTAAAGCTTGTTTTGTCTTTATTTAGAAAATCAAAAACAAACCCAACAATTAGCATCAGGATTATTTAAAAGGGACCTTTAAGAATGGCTGGGCTGGTTTTCCAGGTTGGATCAGCTGGTTTGCATTAGCCTGCTGTTTAAGTGTCTGTTAGCTGTGATGGCATTTGATGACTATGTTTGGATTTTGTTCAGCTGGATGATTCCTCCCTGGGTATAAGATATTTGGGTTTGGACTCTTTTTTCTGAGGATATAGCAAGATTTTGCATTATGATGATTTTATTGGGAGCAAGGAGATTTCAGTGTAGCTGTGAAGACAATTTGGCTGTTGCCATTTCTTTTTTAAATTTATATATGTATACTCTTGATACATATATGTATACACTTGATAGTGCATTTTGGACTTGGTGTAAGGACCCCCATGCTGCCTGAGATCAGTGTGGTGTTTGGAGTGGATCCCAGCTGCTACAATGAAGACATTCCATTGCTCTTTTCCCAAAACTCACCTAAAAGATTTTCAGCATGTGTCTGAACATGCTGAGGTTAAATATGTGCTACATCTACTGCTGCCTTATGTGGCTTTCAGCCAAAGCAAGTTAATTGCCCTTTCAGACACTTATGAAAATTAGAAGGTCTCAAAGATCTTTCCCCCTACCTTTCTATGCCATTAATCAGGTTTTCCTTGATAGTGTCTGTACTTGAGCTGAGTTTTCACAGGTACAGTTCACAGGTACAAGCAGAGAACTGGGCACTTGTAGACAAAACAGATAGTATTTAAGTGTTTT